CTGCTTGGCCGGCAGGCTGCCCCTCTGCCCCGGCTCCCTCCCGCCAGTCCATGGAGTGCGCACCGCCTTGCCGCCCTTCCTACCCTCTTCCGTGGGCCTCTCGTCTGCGCTTGGCTCTGGAGACTCCGTTCTGCTAATCCTCTGGCGGTTTTCTGGGTTATTTAGGCAGGTGTAGGTGGAATCTAAGTGGTCAGCAGGACACGCGGTGAGCCCAGCGTCCTCCTATGCTGCCATCTTCCTGCCTCCCAAGAGATGCATTTTAAAGACATGAGCAGGCATTCATAGTCTGCTATGAATAGTAAGGTCATGAAAACATTCTCATAGTAATGAAGGAAATACAAGTGAGAACAATGAGGTACCACCTCCTGTTCGGCAGACTGGCAAAAAACAGTAAGGAGAAGACAGATGGACGGTAACAGCAGTGGATGAGGGACTGGAGTTCTGGGAACTGGTGGCTACCTGCTGGAGAGGGTGCAAACAGGTGCAGAGATGCTGGAAACAAGCAGGTAAAATGGAACACGGACGCTGTCCATAACCCAGAGATCCTACTGCTGGAGCATTCATCACAGTGTGTGTGTGTACAGCCCAAACCTCAGTGGCCAGTAGATGGTGCATATTCACACACACGTGATCATCCAGTAGTGAAGGTGAATAGATTTCCAAAACCACTGAGCACGAAAGTGTTGGTTGATCAGAAAAAGAACACATACTAAGCTGAGGCCACTTATGTGAAATTCAAAGCAATGAAAAACTGTGTGGTGCTCAGTTTAAGAATACATGTGTGGGGGGCCTGATCAGCCTAATTCGAGGTAGCTATCATGAGGTGGGGGGGGCAGGAATCAATACAATTAGTGAGGAAGGAAAATAATACTGGTGAGCCTCTAGTTCATAAACTAGATGACAGATATATCAGGCTCACTATAATTATGTATTCCAGGGTCTTGGGTATAAATGTGTACTTTTATGGAGACATTCTTGGTCTGTCCTCATGGACCTGTCTACGTAATTATATCAGTCACCAGACTTAAGTTGGCACACATTCCCCCATGACTGCTTTTCTCCCAGAAGCACTCAGTTCACCACACAAATGAACAGCAGTCATGACAATAACAGAAAGATTTATGACAGCCTCTCCAGCTGGGCCACGGACAGGTAATATTAACCAAATGTCTCCAGGTAGCTACTTCCTAATATTAGTGTCTTTGAGTGTATGTTACTTCTGAGATGCCTGGCAATATCAATCCAACTTTTAGGGTTAAGTGAGCAGTCTTCCAGGCTATGGAGGCCACAGAAAAATGCCCAGCCTGAGCCCCTGGGGAAAATTGTACCCATGTAGACACATAGATCCCATGAACCGTCTCACATTCTTGTTTTTCACACAGAGTGACTCCAGGGGTTACTTCCATCCTTTCCAGCAGGAAAGCTTGTACCGAATTCAGCATCTTCGTTACAGATGATCAAATAATATACACTTGGGGTCAGACCCAACTGGTATGGTCTTGCATCTGGGCTGTAACTATGAAGCAGGGACTCAATTCAGCCCTTGAAATACAGCTTCTTTTTACATTCATCTGACAAACAATCTTCAAGATGAAGGACTGAGATTTCAGTCATGCGAGACAAGTCTTCCCATGTCACGCACCTGCCATCTTGCCAAGCTAGGTTTCCATCTCAAGTTGATCGCTACCAAACTACTGTGCTGCCCTACCTCCAGTCTGGCCACCTGAGCCTGTTTCAGTTAAATGTCGAGATTATCCAGGCTCCACTCAGCTCTGACAGGTGTGAAGGAGCAGAGCTGGCAGATGGAAACAAGAGACTGCTCAAGTTGTGTCGGTTCAGCGTCACACACAGAGAGACTGGTCGGGATGCTGAGCACTTGGGTGCTGGTAGATGTTCAGCCATTGACTCTGGAGAACAAAAGCCCTGATGTGCAATGTCTACCAATGTCTAGTGTGAATGCTCCCACAGTGGCTGATTTCAAGCTACCAACGTCAAGTTGTTGGACGCACAGTTGGGGAGAGATGTGCAGGAGCACCCCACCACACAAATGCAACAACCTCAGAAACACATACTGGGAGTTGGCAAACTATGGCCATGGGCTAAGTCTGGCTGGCCACCTGGTTTCGTACAGCTTGTGAACTAAGAATTTAGAAAACTTTTTAGGGGCGCCTGGGTGGTTCAGTTGTTAAGTGTCTGACTCTTGATTTTGGCTCAGGTCATGATCTCACATCATGAGTTTGAGACCCATGTCAGGCTCGGCGTTGATAGCTCAGAGCCTGTTTAGGATTCTCTCTCTCTACCCCTCTCCCCGCCTCAAAATACATAAACATTAAAAAAAAATTTTTAATGGTGAAAAAAGATCAAAGAACAATACTTTGTGACACATGGAAATTAAATGAAATTCAAATCCTGTGCCCATAATAAATATTAGTAAATTATATAGTGAATAGAGTTATTAATAAATTTTTAATAAATTATTAATAATAGCTATTAATAACTTGTATTATTCACAGATGCTTAACAACTTAATAATAATACAGTTTTATTGGAACATAGCCATACCTATTCATTTACATATTGGCCATGGAAACTTTAGACCTATAACGGCAGAGTTGAAAAGTCATGACAAAAGACTGTATGGCCCACAAAGCTGAAAATACTTATCTGGACCTTTATAGAAAAAGTTTGCTGAATGCTGGCATCAATAATAGTATAGTAAAGAAATTAGGAGGTGATGAATTTTGATAATCTATTATTCTTTTTTCTTTTTTTTCTTTTTTTGGTGAGCTCTATGCCCAATATGGGGCTTGAACTCACCCCACATGCTTTACTGACTGAACCAGCCAGGTGCCCCTAAATTTGTTTTTTTCATATAGTTTATTTAATTGTAAGTCTGTATAACTTTGTAATAATGGCGTTTGAAAATCATGCATAGAAACTAGAGCCCAGCTGGTTTTTCTTTTCTAGTGCCATGCTAGCTGCTCTTAACAGGACAAGGTAACATTCGTCGTAAGGTGTATGTAACCCAATGTGAACTGCATCGTCTAAAGTGTTAGCCATCAAGTAAGACCAAATGTTTCTGTCACTGAAGTGTTCTGAACTATACCTTGATGTTTAAAAGCAAAATCTTGGTTAGAACAACCTTCACCTCCTAGGATCTATTTTTTAAATCTTCTGTCCCCTGTGGTTATCAACTGCATGTACCAGGCCTCTAGAAACTAGTGTGTTAAACTGAACCAACTTGATGAGAGTGACTTATAGGGCTTGTTTTCCAAAGAAGAGCATCGTTTAGAGTAGCGAAATTATAAGCCTGCTTTAGGCGTATTGTAAAGCTGTTGGAGAAGTAACTCCTCAAGTTTTGTGAGTGGAAATGTAGTTCTCAAGTCACACTGTGCTTTAAGAGGTTGTAACAAATATGAACAAATTAAAAAAAAGAAAGAAAATCAGCTCACAAAACTCCTGTGTTCTTAGAAATCACCTCTTGCAAGCCAGTATGAGGGGAGTCAAGCTCACCACTGGAGGCTCTAGTCTTGTATCTTAGACATATCTAGGATATGGTCAAACTGTAGAGTGTGAAAAGTTGAGTGAAAGTAGAACCAGGGAGTAGAATCGTGGTTGCCAAGGTCAGGAGTGTAGCGGTAAGGGGGAGAAGATGGTCTTTGGGTTGTAAGATGTGTGAATTGTGGGGATCTAATATACAGCTGTAGTTAACAGCACCGTATTATATACTTGAAATTTGCCAAGAGAGGAGATCTTAAATGTTCCTTCCCCCAAATGGTAACTAGGTGAGGTTGATGGTGATGATTATTTCTCAACGTGTGTGTATATCAAATCATCATATTGTACACCTTGGGAAAAAAAAAAAACTAGATCGAAAGAAAGATGGCAGGCAGACCACACATGTAATCCCACCTCCAGAAAACCAGTCTGGGTCTCTCTCAATCCCAGGCTTGTCTTACCTGAGACGCTGTAGATAACACTGTGGGTACTTCAAGGCTGTGCACAGAAACTCCGTGGTCTCACATCTCACTTCTGTGCCTTGTATTTCCAAGTGTCTCATATACCGGTTTTCAATCAAAACTTGGAAGAAGTCTTCATTCAACATGGAGGGATTCACATGTCTAAAGCTGGAGAAGTAAGCAGCACCTAGTTACAAGATCTTATCGGCTATTAGTTCTTTTTACAAAAACAGCTTTACTGAGGTATAAATGATATATCAGTAAACACATCTATCATGTATTTAAGGATTATCATTTGGTGTTGGATATATATATATATATAATACACTCATGAAATCATTACCACAGTCAAGGTGGCTAATTAGTCCTTCTTATCCTCCAGCGTTTTTTTTTTTAATTTTTTTAACGTTTATTTATTTTTGAGACAGAGAGAGACACAGCATGAATGGGAGAGGGGCAGAGAGAGAGGGAGACACAGAATTGGAAGCAAGCTCCAGGCTCTGAGCCATCAGCCCAGAGCCCGACGCGGGGCTCGAACTCGTGGACCGCGAGATCGTGACCTGAGCTGAAGTCGGACGCTTAACTGACTGAGCCACCCAGGCGCCCCTCCAGCTTTATTGAGATGTGATTGACACATAACAATGTATGAGTTAAGGTGCACAATGTGTTGATTTAATACATTAATATATTGCAAAATGGTTACTGCCTTGGCATTGGCTAACACCCTCATCCCATTACAAAATTATCATTACTTGTTTTATGATGGGAACGTTGAAGATCAACTCTTGGCAACTTTGGAGTTTACAATATGTTATTGTTGACTACAGTCACAATGCTGTCTTATCAGATCCCCAGAACTTATCTTCTAACTGTAAGTTTGTACTTTTTGACCAACACATGCCCATTTGCTAATCAGTTCTACATTCAATTAGTTTATACACATGTGAGAGCCTTTCTGTGTGGTCCAGGGCTCTGAACCAGGTTGTTCTCAGCTCAGCTTGGCCTCCCTGGTTGGGTGAACTTACATACATCCCTTACCTTCCAAACTTCAGTTTCGAGTCCACGAGAGAGAGAGTGAAGGATGCCTTCTCCGTAAGATGGGTATGGGAATTAACATACACGACACCTGTAATTGGTACTGCACGGTGCTTGATGTACAGTAGGCACTCGATAAGTGGGAGCTAATAATAATCGTTATAGTAACAGCAGAGAAAATAGGTCAGATGCTGGCTAGGGGCAGTCACATAATGTCTGGTGGGCTATTTCAAGGAATTTTGAGGAGCTACTGGGTTTCTAGGTTTTGAAAAGCACAGGGAGCAAGAACATGGGGTACTGGCTATGAGAACAGACCCTGGAGACAAGATGTCCAGATTAAATCCATGTTTTAAGTACATATCAGCTGTATCATCTTGTGCCTCAGTTCGCTCATCTGTGAAATGGGGAAGCCTACTCCATTTGTATGTTTTTTTAAACAAAAAAAAATTTTTTTTTACTATTTATTTATTTTTTGAGAGAGCATGAGCAAGGGAGAAGCAGAGAGAGAGAAGGAGAGACAGAATCAGAAGCAGGTTCCAGGCTTTGAGCTGTCAGCGCCGAGCCTGACACGGGGCTTGAACCCACAAACTATGAGGTCATGTCCTGAGCTGAAGTTGGACCTTTAACTGACTGAGCCACCCAGGCGCCCTTCCATTTGTATGTCTTAACAGAAAAGTGATCTCATGATATGTGGACCTAAAACAACAACAACAACAACAACAACAACAACAACAAACCCTAAAGCTCAGGAAGAGATCTGTTTTTGTGGTTGTCAGAGGCAGGAGGTGGAGGAATTGGGTGAGGGTGGTCAAAAGGTACAAGCTTCCCGGTACTGGGGACATGACGTACAGCCTGATGACTGTGGTTAACACCACTGGCTGGTCTATTTGAAAGTTGCCAAGAGAGCAGATCCCTCTTATCACAAAGAAGAAAAAAATATAACTTCTAGAAGGTGATGTGTGTATTTTTTTTTAATTTTTAAAAATTAAACTAACTCTAGAAGGTAACTCTACAAGGTGACTCTAGAAGGTGATGTGTGTATTTTTTTAATTTTTAAAAATATTTATTTTTGAGAGAGAGAGAGAGTGCATGAGTAGGGGAGAGGCAGAGAGAGAGGGAGCATTAGTCTGCACACCTTAAACTTACACAGAGCTGTTTGTTCTGCCTCATTACAACTAGAAGGGGGAAAAATATAAACATGGGTGTTTCTGCAAGTCTATGTGAGCAGAGAAGGGGAAGAAAAACGGGATGGGAAGCAGACTGTTTCCATGGAATTCCCTCCAACCAGGGTCCGTGTTATACGCACATTAGTTTTTGCAGTGGACACCAAGGGTGTCTCTGAGCTGCATGAAGAGGCCTCGCTGAATCAGTCTCCATAAAAGTGTTGGTCACAGCCAGGACCTCCAAACTCTCGTGTGTCCAAAACATGGAGCAGAAGTCTCGCCACCAGAGAAAACACTGATCGCTGCTTTCCGGTCTGTGTGCAAGAGACAAAAAACCCTGTGGCTTGTCGTCAGAGATTAAACTTGAGCAAACCCACTTGTAAACCCAGGGCTGGTGTTCCCTTACCTTGGTTGTGATCCACAGACCCTTTATGACTCCAGTAAGGTTCCCGCACTTAAAAAAAAAAAATGCCCAGAAGAACCATTACAAGATTTTGCATTTTATTCCAGGAAGACTTGTAGCCTTAGGTAAAGAAAGGTACCTGTATTTCCCCATGACTTAGAAAGGAAGAGAGTTGCTGTTTTAACCACTTAGGATTTATATGGAGGCAGAGATTAAATTATATCTGCATTCTCTAGTCTTACTCTTTGCTTATAAAACTGTTATTAAAAATAAAAAAAAAACCCTGTGTAGAATAAGGGAATATTAGTCTCTTTTGGCATGGTGAGTGCAGGAGAGGAAACTCCATAGCTAGACTCACATGTGATGTAGTGTGGCTCTGGAAACACCTGCTGATTTCCCCCTTCGTTTCCCCCCATGCAATCTTTTTCAGAAAGGGTGACCAAGAGATGCCTATGAGGAATTTTGTTTCATGCTGTTTGTATTAAATAGTTGGAAATAATCCACAAGCATACGAAGGGGGAACTGCTATAATTATCTCCAGTACACCTATTTTTGGGAGACTTTAGTACACCTCGTTGAAGAACCACTATTAAAGAAAGTGTGCACAGATATTAAAATATTTCTAAGACTGGGGCGCCTAGGTGGCTCGGTGGGTTGAGCGTCCGACTTCAGCTCAAGTCATGATCTCACAGCTCGTGGGTTCGAGCCCCGCGTCAGGCTCTGTGCTGACAGCTCAGAGCCTGGAGCCTGGTTCCGATTCTGTGTCTCCCTCTCTCTCTGCCCGTAACCCACTCGCATTCTGTCTCTGTCTCTCTCAAAAATAAATAAACATTAAAATTTTTTAAAAAATATTTTTAAGACCTGTTAGATGAAAAAAAAGAAAAGTTTGGAATACTTACACTAGCATGTAATTTTTGTTTAAAATAAAATCCCATTAAATAAAGCCATGTACGTTTCATATCCATTTTAAATACAAATACATCAAAATAATACCAACTCCGTGTATGGGAGTGGGGAGAGGAATGGATACAGGTAGTCAAAGCATGCAAACCATTTACCATGTTATATATTTGAAAGTCACTAAGAGAGTAGATTGTAAAAGTTCACACACACACACACACACACACACACAAATTGTAACTATGTGAGATGAGCGATATGTTAAGTAACCTTATCATGGTAATCATTTTGCAATGTGTACATATATAAAATCACTATGTTGTATACCTGAAACATATATCAATGTTATATATCAATTATAGCTCCAAAAAAGCTGGGATAAATATACCAACTCCCTTCAAGAACTCCCGCAAACATTATCAACAGACTCACCAACACAAAGGAAATTTCTCACCTTAAAAAAAATTTTTTTTAGTGTTTCTTTCTTTTTGACAGACACAGAGAGACAGAGTGTGAGCAGGGGAGGGGCAGAGAGAGAGAGGGTGACACAGAATCGGAAGCAGGCTCCAGGCTCTGAGTTGTCAGCACAGAGCCTGACGTGGGGCTCAAACTCATGAACTGTGAGATCATGATCTGAGCCGAAATCGGATGCTTAGCCAACTGAGCCACCTAGGTGCCCCAAAATGAAATAAAATTGAAAAATGCCATGTCAGGGGGCACCTGGGTGGCTTGGTCAGTTGAGCCTCCAACTTCAGCTCAGGTCATGATCTCATAGTTCGTGAGTTTGAGCCCTGTGTTGGGCTCTGTGCTGACAGCTGGGAGCCTGGAGCCTGCTTCACATTCTATGTCTTCTTCTCTCTCTTACCCTTCCCCCCCCAAAAAAAAACCCAAATAAACATTAAAAAAAATTTTTTTAAATGCAGTGCTCAGTAGTCACACGTAGCTAGTGGTTCACTTACTGGATGGTGCATTTCCACTCTCACAGAAAACTTCCATTGGACAGCACCTCCCTAGAGACTAATGAGCTAGAGACACACAGAAGTAGGGGGGACAGATGCAATGTCCCCATGTAGAAGTGGGGGAGGGGATGCAGACTAGAGATAAAGAAGGTAAACAAATCACTTTGCTTCTCCAGGATTCTCCTGGTTTTAGCATGCAAATCTGCATCCTGGGAGCACCTCCTGTCCTGGTTTTAAAATGGAAAGTCCCTTGTGTAAGGGACCGCCTCAGGACAGGTGGTCGCCCTGGATGCCGGGAGGACCGCAGGCAAGGTCCCTGGACAGGTCAGGCTGCCCAAGCAGAGAGGAGAGCACTCACTCAGTGGAACAGAGGGATTCTGGGTGGGGTGTGGACACTTGGGTGACGGTCAGGGTGATGGTCAGTTCTAGACACCGCAGGTGTCTACAGTGCTTCAGACAAAAAGCAGACACCTGCATGTCTTTGACCTTGCTGATGGTCAAAGCAGCTTTCTGACAATCATTTAGGATCTGGCTCACAAGTGCCTCCTCCTGGGTTTCATGCAGACAGTACAATAGCTGTGGGACGCCGTGGTGTGGGGTTGGGGGGCCAAATTCATGTGACAGGGCTGCAACTTCCAACAGCTTCTTTCTGTTACTCAAGGTCAGCTTGCCTCGGGATGACTTCTCCGCGGCTAAAGCGCATGTTTCATTTAAAAGGCCGAACAGGAAAAGCCCCATCGGAGCGAGATAGTTTTTCTTTCTTCCGGGGTAGGCTATCAGGCGCGTGACGTGAACGCTGTCCAACACCTGGAAATTTCTGAGTCTTTGCGGGGAGGAGAGGACGTACCACAAGGCAGCAAAGAATTCCTGGAAGCTCATGAAGGCAAAAGTGTAACAGTCTTGGTCACCTGCAACCCTTTGAAAGATATTCACACGGAGAAAAGTGGCAATGGCGGTCTCCTCCAGCTTGGCTCCAGGTCTTCTGGGTCAAACACCCATTTCATGTTCCACATACCCTCTGCAGCCAAGTAACACAGACCTCTCAGCTGTTCTTGGTGAGTGTAGCCAGGAAGTCCTCCAGCCTTGGTGGGAAATAAGCTAGACAGATACTGGACGAATAGAGCCATGGCGTTTGGATACACCTGCCTGAGATCTGCTCCTCTCTCCATCTGCTGCCTCAGACAAGAGCACACCATCCAGCAAACCACAGGGACCTGGCACATGGACAAGAGAATCGTGTTTCCCATGACAAAACTCAAGGCTTCATCAGCTTCCCTCTTGTTTCCGAAATAGGTCCTGAAACACTTGCCTCTTTCTGCCATACCAAACCCTGTAAGGGTTATAAAAGAGGGCTGTTTTAGGAAGGGCTTAAGTTTCCTCCGAGACGTGAACCTCAGAGTGATCAGTATAGTGGCTTCAGGAAGCATTCTTTTGCTCAGCAAACTGGTCAGCAGGATAGACCCAGGCAATTTCTGGCTCTAGTCCTCACTCAGGTCAGTTGGTCTATCTGTGAGGGTCAATGTTACCTCCTCAAAGCCATCAAAGAGGAGCAGAAGTTGGTCTGGTTTGGACATAATCTTGGACATAAGAGCTTTTGACCCTGGCCACTTATGGGCAATCAGCTCCGAGAAGCTCTGCTTGGCCACCTGGGCCACTTCCCGGCAATGGATGTAGAAAGCACACCAGAACTTATGGGGGTAGAACTTGTTTTGTGCCCACTCCAACATCACCTTTTTAGCTAGGGTTGTTTTTCCAACACCAGCAACTCCCTGTAGGACCACAGTCATGGGCTGTCTCCCTTGAGGTCTTCTGGGAAGAAACAGACATGGTACGAACCTCTTGTGTCTCTCTATTTCTTGGTAGAAGAAGTCTACATGGTTCCCAGGCCAAGTGGTCTTGCTACATGTTGTGGAACACTCATCGATCACGTGCAGTTTGTACTCTTGTATTTTATCTAGATGAGCAGGATGGGAGAAATACAGATACGACATCAGGGTTATCTGCAAGAACTAATTGAACAAAAAGAAAACTAACCTTGATGCCTACATCAAGCCCCACAAGACACCTGCACACGCCATGCACTTTTCTGGAGAGCACTGCAAAATTTTAGAAGCTGCAAGTAAACAGGAGAGTCCACTTGAAGTGGCTTAAACAGAACAAGGATTGCTTTTTATTAAAGAAATATGGGGAGGGTGGTGTAGAGATGTTGAAATCGGTTTGGTGGTTCTGAAGCTTCAGGGCCAAGTAACATCACATTTCTATGAGCCCATTCTTCATATTTCTTGCCTCATGAATAAGACACTGCTATTGTAGCTATGTTATTGTTATGTAGTTGGTTATGGCATTTGTATTCAAAGCAGAAATAGTGGGGAGGAGGGACATACTAACAGCTCATGTCTACTTTTATCAGTACAAATTCATGAACTCAGGAGATTTTTAATTATATCTCATGGCCTAGAGTTGTCAGATGGTTAACCCCAATTTTAAGGGAGTGTGGAAAAAATATTTCCCTTAAGGCTGGTCACATTTTACCCCTAATTGAAACTGGATTCTGTTAGCACATGAGATATGGGGTCAGGAGTTAACAGGATCTGTCACAACCTTCATCCCAACATGTGATCATGTGATTCTCTTTCTTTCTTTCTTTCTTTCTTTCTTTCTTTCTTTCTTTCTTTCTCTCTCTCTCTCACTCTCACTCTCACTGTCTCTCTCTCTCCCCTCTCCTCAACAGGAAACTTTACAAATTAGACATGATGTCTGGTACAATTGCATTCCCCCCCCAGCCCCAGCTGATGGGTAGAAGGAAGCTTACTACAAGTTCAAGATCTATGGACCTGTTAGCTCTATGAGGGTAAGCCAGTCACAGAATCTCAGCCTCCAGCCTGCCATCTCCAAAATAAAATAGGGTTTATGACTCTGTCTCAGACTGTGGTGTCAGAACTATAAGCCCTCCAGTGTTTGTTGAACAGGTGAAATCTAACTGTGCTAAGGCTGGAGTTGGGAAACCCACATCCCGCTTACTACATGCTTTCACGGCAGGTAAGAATGCTGGCCTTGGGCTCTTGGTTCCTTTTGACCTCGTCTCTTCACACAACCTGACTGAGAAGCACAAACTCAATTCACACAAAAATAATTTGGGTTCTTTGTAGAATCTGACTTCTGATGGCCCAGGATGGTGGAATGAAGAAGAGGACGGAATAAGAGATGCGCTGTATTTGTCTGCCTACCAACCATTCCCATTCTGGCAGGAGCACTACCATGATTCTTTAGGGAAACCTCCTCTTGCAGCCCCAGTTTGTTAAATTGGGCTGTGGGCTGGTCCTATTACCAAGCTCTCTCTGAAGGTTCAGTCTTAACCAACCAGAGCATTTCATCACATCATTCATTCATGAGCTTGGGACCTCAGTTCATTAGATGAGTCAGTTCTAGGATGAGTGCTGGAGAAATGAGAAAATACTCCTCTTTCTGCTGATGCTAAGTGGGTACAATGTATGTGTAGGGTAGCTGGTGGTCAAGATGGCCACTGTGGCAGGAGACACTACTTGAAACTGGGTCCCACAAAAGAAGAGGGAGCTAGAAGGACAGAGCGATGTCTCAAGTATGTAGCTGGGGCCCCTGCCTCCATCTGGGCTGGTGGCTGGACTTTGAGTTATGTGTGTCCCCAACTACTCTTTTTTCTTAAGTTCTGATTCATAGAAGAGATGCTGACTTACTCATTTATAATCTGCCCTGCTTCAGGAACTGAGCTTATCACCCTAACCCACAGCCTATGTTCCTCCAGGCTTTGTCACGATGCCAGCACATACCAGATTCTCTTTCCTCCATATTCACTGGCATTTCTCTTGGGTTTGCGTCTGCTGGCTCCAGTCTGGGTAGAATGTCTGGAACAGACAGGGAAGGAGAATATTCCACTGGAATGACTGACAGGACAGGGAAAGCCATGTGTAGGGGATGGGATCTTTTAGGATGGGGGCAACAATTCACCACCTTAGTCCAGGGAGAAGAACATTGTCTTGACCCCATCATGCCATTAGGAAGTGAGAAAATGGTGCTGTTTTAGGATGTACTGAGGAAGGTGTTCAAAAACAAATTTATAGCCTAGCCAAACACAGAGGGAGAAATAAACACAAACACACACACACACACACACACGTGTATGTGTATATAAAATATATACAGACTTTAATATATATGTATGTTCACATATAGATGTATTTGTATAAATCTATGTGCAGATTTATATGTATATGAACATAATCATATATATACAAATATACACATATAGTCATTGATTCTTCTTATTCATGCCATTTATGTTCTATAAAATTACTGTGAACATTCAATTAGCCAATACTGCTCCCATGTGAATACAGAGATACCTTCTTATAGCCTCTGTCTACACATTTTTGACTCTTCAATCCATAACCATGGTCTATGTTTGTTTTTGTTTAAAGACATCATATTCGACTGTGCTATAACTCATGCCTGAATGAAGCTTACCCAACACATGTATTTTCTCTGTAAGGCATGTCCCGACCCTTTTGTGCTTAGGACACCAAATAGCACTCCACCACTATGCTTTGGGGATCAGGTTCAACAGCAATGGCACCAACAAAATACACAAAAACACACAAAAAAGTGGCACTAAATAGATGGTGGAAAAGACACTCGTTTGCAGGATGGGAACACAGGTAAGAAGGCAGAGTATTGCTTTGTTCGTCTGCAGTTGGGAACATGTGCATTCAATTGTCCTCCATCCTGCATGTCTGTAAATGAGCATCAAAGTGCCACCATTATTGATTTCGGAGTTACAAACAAATTTTAGTGAGTAGGAAGATTCACAAACATGGGATCTATAAGTAATGAAAATGGGCTATAGATAGGTCCTAAATAAGCAGTAGCTGGTTAAGTTTGTTGTTGTTGTCAATATGCTCATATGATGGTCTTTGCCTTTGCACTCAGTCATCATCTTACTCCACTGTTTGCCTTCTGATTCAGTATGGATGGCCAGTAAAGTATTCGGTTCTTTAGCACTGAAACCCATCCCCATTTTTATACCAGATTATTACTTACCATTTAGCTCCATCTGTACCTGAAGACACAGTTCTGTCTGGTTCATCTTGGCAAAGATGTCACGAGTCACATCCCAAGCCAGTCGTCCAGGGAAGTACTCCATCAAGAGATGAACCACCTCCCCCCATCTGGCTGTCTTCACCTGGTCCCAGGTGATCTGGACAGAGCCAGGTCTGGGGTTCTCATCCACTAAAAGCTGCTTGAACCTTTGTAGTTCCTCCTTGCTTAAATAGACCATGTACAGCATGACCCCATTTTCAAAAGGGGAGGAGGAGGAGGAGGCAGAGGACATCAAGGATGGGAACAAATAACAAGGAGAGGAAGAAGACGGAGCAGGAGGAAGAGCAGGAAAAAGGGCTAGAATTCTGATTCACATCACTTATTTTCTCTCAAGACCTAGAACCTTAGTGCCAGTGACAAAGACAACTAATTGGAAGAGAGAACAGACCAGACCTGTGGAGACATGAAAATAGAAGAAAATGAAAACCCACCCAAGAGGATAAATTTATCAAATCCATATTTTATAGAGCATACTGTGTACCAGATACTATCTTACCTCCTTCCCCCCAAGTTTCTCTGTCCTGTGGAAAAACCCGGGGGCACATCCAGTGCTCAGGCCTAGTGTTTAGACTCAAATCCACTTGGTTGTTTTTATTCTCAATGCCACATATTGGCAAGGTGACTGGCCAAATTACAGGATCTCTGTGTGCCTCTTTTCTCACCTTTGATCTTGGGATCAGAGCCTACCTGCTCATGGGGTTGTGAGGATTCTCAAAGAGACAGATCTACAGGTACAATTGGGATAGTGCCTGGCACATCATAGCTAACACTTATTTGGGGCTTCTATCTATACCTCAGTTATTTTAGAGACTCAATGGGAATGTATAAAAAGCGCCTGGAATCAAAGGTGTGTTGTTCCTCCCCATTCATTTCCTCCACTGTCTCATCCTGTTCTTGTCTTCCATCATGGTTATCATGGGAAAGAAGTGGAATGTGGAGAAGAAGAAAGAAAACAATGAAGTCACTGGTGGGAGAGGGGCTTACTTCTTGGTCTACCTGCTGCTCACATACAATTACTTCTCTGAGTTATTTTTGTCACCACATTTTAATTCTCATCCCCATCACCTGAGAACTTCCTGCATATGTCCTTTAAGTCATTATGTATTTAAGGTACCAAAGTTTTATCACCTTCAATTAATTCACTGCAATGGTTCTGGATAATTGTAAGTTCCCTGTGGATGACAACTTCCCCTTAAATTAGCACTCAACCTTCACCTCCACTCTTGGATTCTGTCAATTCCTGATATGCGAGCAAAAACGCCTACATTAAGAAAAAAAAAAGATTTCAAACAACCCAACTTTACACTTCAAGGAACTAGAAAGAACAAACTAAGCCCAAAGTTAGCAGAAGGAAGGAAATAGTAAAGTTCAGAGAAGAAATAAATGAAACAAAGACCAAAAAGACACCAGAAAAGATCAATGAAACTAAGAGTTGTTTTCTTTAAAATTTTTAAAATGTTTATTCATTTTTGAGAGAGAGATAGAGTGTGAGTGGGGGAGGGGGAAGAGAGAGAGGGAGAGACAGAGTCCGAAGCAGGCTCCAGGCTCTGAGCTGACAGCACAGAGCCTGACATGGGGATTGAACCCATGAACCGTGAGATCATGACCTGAGCCAAAGTTGGACACTTAACTGACTGAGCCCCCCAGGCACTCCAAAAGTTTTTGTTTTCTTTGAAAAGATAAACAAAATTGACAATCTTTAGCTAGACTAACCATGAAAAGAAAAAGAGAGGGACTCAACATCAGAAACAAAAGAGGAGACATTACAACTGATACCACAGAAATACAAAGGTTCATGAGAGACCACTATCAACAATTACAACTCAAGAAATTGAATAACTAAGAAGAGATGAATACATTTCTAGAAACATACGAACTACCAAGATTGAATCACAAAGAAACAGAAAATATGTGAACAGATTATTAACAAGTAAGGAGGTCGAATCAGCAACTGAAAACCTTCTCCAGAAGAAAAGCCCAGGACCAGATGGTCTCCCTGGTGAATCCCACCAAACACTGAAAGAAGAATTAACACCAATCTCAAATTCTTCCAAAAATTGAAGAGGAAGGAACACTTGCAAACCCATTTTACAAGACCAGCATTACCCTATTACTTAAACTAGACAAGGACACCACAAGAAAATTACAGGCCAGTATCTGATGAACATAGATGTAAAAATCCTCAAAAATATGGCAAATTGAATTTAACATCACCGTAAAATGATCATATACCACGATCAAAGGGGATTTATCCCTAGGGTGCAATAAAGGTTCAACCTAAATCAATAAGCGTGATAAAACACATCCACAGAATGAAGTGTAAAACCCATATGATTATTCCAATAGATGCAGAAAAGGCATTTGGAAAGATTCAGTATCATTTCCCAATTAAAAAAACTCTTAACAAATTAGGTGTGGATGGAAATTACCTCAACATAATAAAGGCCATACATTAAAAGGCACAGCTAACACCACATGCCACCATGAAAAGACAAAAGCTTCTCCTTTAAGATTAGGAACAAAACAAAAATGCTGACTCTCCCACTTCTGTTCAACATAGTACTGGAAGTCCCAGCCAGGAGCAAGAAAAAGCAAGCCAAAGGTATCCAAATGAGGAAGAAGTAAAATTATCTCTGTTTGCAGACAACATGATCTTACAAATAGAAAATTCTGAAGACTCCACCAAAAAACTACTAGAACTAACAGACAAATTGAGTTAAGGTGTAGAGTACAAAACAAATACACAAAAATCAGTTGTGTTTCTATATATTAAGAATGAAATACCTGGAAAATAAATTCAATAAACAATTCTGTTAATAATAGCATCATAAAGAATAAAATGTGTGGATACAGATTTCATCCAACAGGTACAAGATCTGTATGCTGAAAACTATATGACATTGATAAAAAAAAAAAAAATCAGGGGCGCCTGGGTGGCGCAGTCGGTTGGGCGTCCGACTTCAATTCAGGTCACGATCTCGCGGTCCGTGAGTTTGAGCCCCGCGTCAGGCTCTGGGCTGATGGCTCAGAGCCTGGAGCCTGTTTCCGATTCTGTGTCTCCTTCTCTCTCTGCCCCTCCCCCGTTCATGCTCTGTCTCTCTCTGTCCCAAAAATAAATAAACGTTAAAAAAAAATTTTATAAAAAAAAAAATCGAAGACACAAATACATGAAAGGACATCCCATGCCCTTGGATTGGAAGAATTAATATTGTTAAATATCCACACTGCCCAAATGCATTGCAATCCCTATCATAATTCCAATGGCATTTTCTACAGAAATAGAAATAGCAATCCTAAAATTTGTGTGGAGCCACACAAAATACCCTGGATAGCTAATGCATTCTCGACAAAGAAAAACAAAGTTGGAGGCATCACACTTCTCAATTTCAAGCCATATTACAAAGCTATAGTAATCAAAACAGTATGGTACTCTTGTAAAAACAGAGACCAATGGAACAGAATCAAGAGTCTAGAAATAAATCCATGCATATATGGTCAACTGATAATTGAAAATGGAGCCAAGAATATTCCATGGGGAAAGAATAATCCCTTCAATAAATGTTGGGAAAACTGGATACCCACATGCAAAACAATGAAGTTGGACCCTTATCTTACACCATATGCAAAAATTAACTCTATATGGATCAAAGATGTAAATGTATTACCTGAAACTGTAAAGCTCTGAGAAGACAACATATGAGAAATTCTCCTTAACATTAATCTTGGCAATGATTTTTGGGGTGTAACACCAAAAGCCTAGGCAACAAAACAAAAATAAACAAGTGGGACTATATCAAACCCAAAAGCTTCTGTGCAGTAAAGGAAACAATTGACAAAAAGAAAAGGCAGCCTATGGAATGGGTGAAAATATTTGAAGATAAGGATTAATATCCAAAATATATAAAGAACTCATAAAACTCAACAACGAGATACCAAAACCAAAACAAACCACCAAACAGCAACAACAACAAAAACCAAAACCCCATTAAAATGGGCAATGGATCTAAGTACACATTTTTTTCCAAAAAAAATGTACCAATGGCCAAAAAGTATGTGAAAAGATGCTCAACATCACTACTCACTAGGGAAATGCTAACAAACCATGAGATAGTCTCTCACACCTGTGAAGATGATTATTCTCAGAAAGATAAAAGACAGCGTGGGTTGGTGAGGAGGTGGGGAAAAGGGAACCCCAGTGCCCTGCTGGTGAGAATGTCAACTTGATGCAGCCACTGTGGAGAACAGTATGGAGGATCCTCAAAAAAATTAAAAATAGAGCTACTTTGTGATCCAGCAATCCCACTTGTGGGTATACATCCAAAGAAAATGAAATCAGTATCTCAAAGACCTATTTGCACCCACATGTTCGCTATTGCCAAGATACGGAAAAAATCCAAGTGCCTATGGATGGGCAAATGGATGAAGAAAATGTGGTAAATGCACAATGGATTAGTATCCAGCCATTAAAAAGAAGGAAGTCCTGCCATTTGCAATTTGCAACAATATGAATGAATCTGGAGGACATTCTACTAAGTAAAATAAACCAGAAACAGAAAGGTAAAGACTATGATCTCACTTATCTGTGGAATCTAGAGTGTTGAACTCATAAAACCAGAGAGTATAGAATGGGAGGGGGGTTGTCTGGGTTTGGGCTTAGAGAAAATGGGGAGACGTTGGTCAAAGGGAACGAACTTTCAGTTACAAGATGAATACGTTCTGGGGAATCTAATGCACAGCATGGTGACCACAGTCTATCACATACACCCTGTCTCCTCCATTTTACAAAGGAGAAAAAGGAGATTTATGTGGGTTAACTAAAATCAGCCAAAGCCATGAAAGAAACCAGCGATTGGAGCCATGTCTCATTCCCAGCCCCGTATGCCAAGCCACGTGGCTGAACTGACAAATATCTTTATCGATAAGAAATATTTGGGGAGAGGTGGTGTCAAAGAATTCCTTAATCTTAGCTGCCTCCTGTACTTCTCTGTGCCTCATTCTTTCTCCTTTGTGATGACAGCTTTCTCGATTTTTTAGAAAAATTGTATCAGCTAATGGCTGCTGTGGACCTCTGAGCCCCGAAAGACCCATTGATATTTCCTTCAGGCTCAGCATTGTGCTAGCTCTCAGATACTCAGAGCTGGGGAAAGAAAGGCTGGGAATTTAGGACTTTACTTCAGGAGCAGGAAGACTGGGTTACTGAGATTGGTAAGGATTTTTATCAATGAAGCAGAG